GACACAAGACAACATTTTTTCTGACTTTTCTCTGGGAGCAGCAGCAGGGCTGACCTTGCCTTGACCCCTCACTGTACTTTCATTCATAACTGTTGGGGGAGAAAAGTTCAGTCCGGGGCATAAAACTCTGATTTTGTCCTTCAGGTCTTTCTTCTACCCCCTCGGAAAAAAAAAAAAAAAAAACTCTACAAACTTTTTAAAAATGATGATAATGGCAGTTTATACCTTTCATAAAGCAACCCCTACAGGCAAAGCAATCTGGGTAGTGTAGTTGCGGGATAAACATCCCTGGGCTATCTGATTATGGCTTACTGCTGCGGTGCTGGTGTCTAGTAACACTCAGAGAGCGCTCAGCCATCCATCACACAGTGAGTGTCTGTCTAAGGCTTTCCACCCTGCTTCTTCTCGTCCTAGCTCTCCAGTTACAGCCATACACGGCCAGCCTAAATAATATTCTTCATGATAAATGGCGCTATAAGCCTGGTATCCATCATTAATCTGATTTTTAAAGAAGCATCCATCTTGGAGAGAGCCTGTTAGGGCCACAGGAGAGCAGAGCAGCCCGGGTTCATTTAAAGGCCAGGCAGCTGCATGAGTGATACCTGTCGGCCCTGTTCATCAGGGAGCACACACACTCACACACAAACATTAAACATTGACGCCATATGGCCCCCTGAACGCACAGACACACACTTTTACACTGTCTGCACATGTTTGTGGTGCATATATGATGAGTAAACAACACTTGCATACTTGTCGGACTTGTGTACTCTCAAAGCATGTTTCCCTCCTTCGTTCAGACGTCTTGCGACGTGGCACGGAAACGCATTCTGTCACTCATCAAGACACAGCTCTGTGTAACTCAATCCTCCCAGTCATCTCAAAAGGGAAAAGAAATCTCCCCTCCCAATCACTCCTCCTCAAGGGTTTCAGGAAAACTCACTCTTCCCTGGAAAATCACTCATACATACACAAACAAGAGTTTGTACGTCCCTTCCCTTCAACTCTGCGCCTCATTCTGTCTTCCTCGGCTTCTCTTTGTTTCTCTCAGTCCACTTTCTGTCTTGTTTTTCACTCTCCCTCTCTCCCTCTCTTCCTCTCTGCCTCCCCCCATCCTCTACCTCCCCTCTCTGTGTGTCTGGTAAAGCCTGTTTGATAAATGACACACGTCACCGTGTCAGAAGCGAAGGGTGGGTCAGTGATAAATGACTCTGTTGAAAAGGAAATCGGCTCTCTGGCATGGCCGGGCTATTCTCCTCCTGGATTGTGTTTCAAGACCCCTAAAGATCGGAGTGGCTCAGTTTCCCCGAAAAGAGCACACATCCCATCAGGCTCTAACTCTCGCTACCTCTGGGAGGGATAGGTGGGTGGGTGGTGGAGTTGGAGGGATCCAGCCTGTCCCAATTGTCGCCCCAGTGCAGCTGCATCTATCACAACAGCGGTGGGACTATTTTTACAAAGACTCGGTGCCAAGACGGCAGTCGGCTGAAAACCTCCACTGGAAGCTGAAAGGAAACGCGAACGGCTAACAGTTTTTTATTTGTGACACTACAGCACTTACACTTCTCAAAGAGCCCAACCCTATGGCCAGACTTCTGCCAAGTGTGTGTTAAAAAGGAGAGAAGGATGACTTAAAACGCCCCCGCTCTTCTTCTCATCTCCCCTCCACCACCCCCTCCTCCTCCTCTTCCTCCTCCCCGTGTGCCCCCTCTTTCTTCTCCTAAAGTCTCTTTTTCAGTCGCTTGCTGGCAGGGTGGCACTGTTATTACACAGGCAGGATTTATGGAGTCAAGGCTCATGGTAAAAACAAAAAAGGCATCTGTCAATACCTGTGGGAAACACTCCGTCAGCTGTCCTCCTCCTTTCTCTGGCGTTCACAGCCTCATTAGGTATGCACTTATCAGACACATAGATCACAGACGTGACTCAACTTCAACGGAATCCGACTACGGAACTTTCATTAGCAGCAAGGCCTGCGAGGCCAAACCATTTGCCTCCCTCACCTGCGAACCAGTGGAGGGGGGGGGGTTGTTGCTAAAGTTCGCTGACGACATCAGCCGACGTTTACGTCCCAACCGGAGGTCCCCCGCTGCTCCCGGCTAAGGACAGGCTCTTCACACGTAAACAGGAAGCCGCACAGATAAATGCAGCCACCTTCTGCAATCCAGTCACAACATGTGTGCGAGTGTCTGCAATGTGCACCGTGAACGCTTGTACCTCTAACCGGCAACAACACTTCATTCCTGCCTGCAGCTGCTCTGGTTTCCAAGCCGGCATACGCTGTGACTTATGTTGCATCACCGATGTGCTAAGATAAACAGATGGAAAGAGGAGAAACTTTAAACCAAACGAGTTCAAAGAATTGTGGGCTGACCCCAGCAGTTGCTCTATGGTTACCATTCCTTTCATTAGCGGATTCGAGAGCCAAACCAAACATACGCCCAGACCTGAGAAACAAGAGGCCACTGATTTGAGAGCATGTGCGTACACACAACACGAGTGGTGGGTGTCGGTCTGGCGGATGAAAACTTGTCCAAATCGGATTCACTCCCCGGTTTTGATATCCAACAAACTTTCATGGGGAAAAACATGAGCAAAGAACCCGATGAAACGGGGGAGGATGAGCAGAGATTTCTGCGAAGACCTCAGAGAGAACTGGTGAATCAAACACTCTTGATTCAGTAAACAAACTGAATCTCTTAAGCGGTCAGTTCAGGTATTTCTGTAAAATCTCCACCTCTTTGCCGACATGTTCGATGGAGAACTTCCACTCTCTGTTGCCATTTCAATAGCTTCAGGCCCTGAACTTGTGGCAAAGCTAATCGCCAGCCAGAAATGAAAGAGATCTGCTTTCCCAGTCCCCCCCCCCCCCCCCCCCCCCGTGTTTTCTCGGGTGTTTATGTCCAGCTGCTCTAGGTTGTTAAGAGCACTCAGACCTGACCCAGGTACGCAGGCCCATTTGTCACCTGCAGCAGAAAACTGAGTTACAGCACAACCAAAGGCGAGCGGCTCTGTGTAATATCAAGTTGATTACATCAAAGTGGTGGCAAACCTCATTGGGCCGGGCACCCCGAGCTTGTCATCTCCAATCACAGGGCCTGTCAGGACTCCATCAGCCTCACGGCTAATTGGACCAATGCTAATGAAGCAGGCAAAACAAGTTTTCTACTGAGGAGGGAGAAACCCTCTTAGACAGGAAAGAAAAGGAGAGTGTGTGTGTGTGTGTGTGTGTGTGTGTGTGTGTGTGTGTGTGTGTGTGTGTGTGTGTGTGTGTGTGTGTGTGTGTGTGTGAGACAATGAGAGAGCAATGCTGGATGTGAGCGTGTCTATGTGTGTGTTGTTGGGGCGTGTGTAGATTTTTCATGCAAGTCTCAAGGTTGCAGTGGGCTGACTCTCTCCCTAAGTCCCTAATCAAGGCCCATCATCTGTCATCCCTTTCTTTGCTCTCTCTATCACCATGCTCTGTGCTGCAATCAATTCATCATCACCCTTTGTGTGCCACTGAACAGTTGACAACTTTATAACTTGCAGCTGCACGGGCTGACTGACAGGGGTGGAAGGGGAGCGTGAAAAAATGAAGAAATGAATAGATGAATGAATGAACAAAGAAGCGTGGTTGCGAGGAGAAAAAGTTGTTTTCTAAAAACACAAAACGATCCGTATTACAGCCTTTTATTCACTTTAGTCAACAGAGAAACAGCAGTGTGGCAGGGAGGAGAGAGTAGAGGACATAAAAGAGAGAAAAAACATCCTTCTCACTGATCTGAAATCAGAAAGCTTTCAGTCATTCTTTATGTGCTCCCTGCGGCCACTCTGAGCCAGTGAGCATGTACATTAGGCTGGGGCATTTTGATGAAATAAAAGCCCAGGCCAGCTTATGGCTAAACAGAATGGGAGCACTCACTCAGCCTGTCTCTGATTGACCATTAAAGCCATTGATGAATGGGCCTGTCAGGGGAGAGACAATTAAATCAAACATGAAACAAAGCCATTGTGACGGCCCAGTCTGACAGAGCAAACCCATTCCTCCCCTCCATTACATAGCACACGGCTCCTTTTACAACCCCTAACCCACTCCTCCCGCCTCCTCTTATCCACTGTACGCTTGTTACTGTGTGTGTTCAAATTGAGCAAGTGGGAGTGTGAGCTTCTCTTATAGATGTGTGTGTGTGTGTGTGTGTGTGTGTGTGTTTATGTCCATGATTTCTCACCGTGAAACCTCTTTGCCCCCTCCCCTTGTTTCATTTTTTAGTGAGTCACTTGACCATCATTGCCACAAAGTGTGTGTGTGTGTGTGAGAGAGAGAGAGAGAAAAAAAGTACACAGATCCTTTCAAAGTGGTTTAAACGTGACGTCAGGGGCCTGCAGCACATGGTGGGAAGTGATTTTCTGATGCAAATCGGGAAGGATCAGATCAAAGCCGCATGACAGCCAATCAATCAACCGTCAAATCAGACGTGGCAACTGTCGATTATGGCTCCTTCCAGCCCACGAAACTCCCATTGTCTCCCCTCAAATTGTTTATCTTATCCCAAGATGAAAGAAGTTGGTGCGTTTGGATCAACTGCGCACAAAGCCCTCTGTTGTGTCCCACTATATGGGACGCCTCGGGCAAAACACACTCTTGTTTTTACTTTTACTATCAAATGTAATTTAAAGTCAGATGTGGCACAAGGGCTTCAACTTCGGAACAAAGGGGAATGAAAGTTTACAGCTGCCGAGTCATCCTATGGGGATCAAAACGTGGAGCGAAAACGCAAAAAAAAAAAAAAAAAAAAAACGCACAACAAACCCTCTATCCGCCAGGACGAGACAACAAACAGAGCAGGAGTCTCCGTGAGGTCTGGAAACGGCGACATAAGTGATCAAGCGCGTCGTTAGAGCTAAATCCATAAAGTGGAAACAGAAATGCGGAGACGGTTAAGTGAGCTTCACAAAACAAATGTGCAGCTTTGACACCTAAACCTTGTTTTACGCGCATTACAGTTGGATTCACGTACCTGCTGCGCGCTTGGGCGCTTCTTGTTTCCTCCGTGGCATTTTATTTGTGCAGTTCTCCGTCTAAATCTTCCCTTTTTTAATTCATAGAGCTCCCTCCTCGCCGTATCCGGGAAGATCCACCTCTACTCAAAAAAGATTCACGCCTCCGTGTAGTAGACGGCACATCGGAGCGTCCGATGGAAAGGAAAACTAAAAATCATCGTTGGGAAACAGCAGCCGGGAGGAAACGAAAGGGAATGTCAGCGGGAAAACAAACAAGGAAGTAAAACGTGGATTTGTTTGGTATTCGGCGGGTCGGTGCTCGGTCATAGCCAGCGTCCACCTCGGCTGCCTGGTCTGGCAACAGGCAAAGTTGAGGGATAAGAGAGATGATCGCGTCACTCACAGCGAGAGAATGGGCAAACCCACCGCTCCGTTAACTCTTTACTTCTCAGAGAGGGCGGACACCACACCTCACACGGTGCGTCCTCCTGCCTCTGGTACGCGTCAGGAGCCAAACGCAGCAGGATGAGTGCAGCAAACCGCAAACTACATGATACTTTTAAATGCGCCAAGACGGGTTTTATTCTAGTGAGGTCATCATTTTAGAAAACGTACTTTGTGATTGTAACATGGGGATTTGTTAAAATGCTTTATAATTCCAGATCTCATTATATTTTATTCCAACATACTTTTCATTTACTCTTTGGACACACACACACACACACACACACACACACACACACACACACACACACACACACACACACACACACACACACACACACACACACACACACACACACACACACACACACACACACACACACAAACGTATGTTTTTCTATCATAGTGAGGACCCTCCATTGACTTTAATTCATTTTTGTGACTCCACTATGCCTAACCCATACTCTAACCCTAACCAATGCTGATCTATTCCTAACCCTAACCTTAACTAAAACTTAATTCACACCATACCTCTAAAGCCAACTGGTAAGCTTGTAAAAATAAGTGAGGACCAAAAAATGTCCTCACTTTGTAGGGAAAATGGTCAAAATGGTCCTCAGTATGTAGTAAGTACAAGAACACACACACACACACACACACACACACACACACACACACACACACACACACACACACACACTAATAGAACCAACCCAAATGAAAATACGTGGCTATCCCAGCATGAGTTAAGTCACAGAAAGGTCACAAATCTGAGGTTTTAAACAACAATACACACTTTCCTTTTCTCGCTCTTAAAACAATGAACAACAATCAGATCAGCCTAGCAACTCTTCCTATAGGCTGAACAATAAAAATACAAATACTGTATGGACTATTTTTACCAATTACGTTCATAATTACATGTTTCCATTTATATCAAATACTGTATATACAGATTCATAAAATAAATTTAAAAATTCCCCATTTATTTAAGGAATGTCCAATATCTCTTCTAGGATTCTTGATCAATATTTTAGTTTTATACATAGACACGTTTATAAATAAATACGATTAGAGCTCAGTTCTGGATGCATCCAGACATCAAACATCATTTTTCAGGTGTGTTTCATCTACTAGTGTGATATGAAAAGAGATTTGAACCATGCCTTTGCAATAAACAGCAACATGTGCATTTTTCTTGTCTAAATGAGAGCAATCTGCCCTACAAAGCCACACAGGGTACAGCTGTGAGCATGTGAGTGATTAAAACAAAATCAACAGAAGAGACCCATGGCAGCCTCACGGTGCTCAATGATGCTCATTATTTTACTTTTCCAGCCCGATTTTCATAAAAAATTATTAAAGAAACTCCTGCTTCACACAGATGTGATGCTTTAACTTACAGATTTAATGAGAGCAGTTCAATGTTTGCTTTCATCACGCTAACGGCACCCGTTTTCTCATTTGTCCACATTAGGTGGAGATGAAAGCCAGCTGAAGGAAGCAGCGGTAAGTTGAGGTGCCATGGTAATGAGTTTTTCTCCACTTGTCTCTCTTTCTTCAAGACAGTCTTATTTCTAGAACGCGTGACCTCCTGTGACTCTGACGTGTCTTCAGAATGCAAACAAGCTGGATGCAGATGGCCCACAGTATTTAGGTAAGTAAGTTAGTAACTTTATTTCTATAGCACCTCTCACAGACAAAAAGGTCACAAAGTGCTTCACACGTTAAAAGACAACAACATATAAATACAGTAGAATATAGGCACAATATACATAGTGTCAAATACAACCCATCCGAATGAGACTAAGTTTAAAATGCCTGGAGAAACAAATGGGTTTTAAGATTGCTCTTAAGAACATCAACTGAGTCGATTGAGCGTAAGGACAGAGGTAGCTCATTCCAGAGCCTAGGAGCGACGGCCTGGAATGAGCGTTCTCCTCGTGTCCTGAACTGAGTACGTGGGACCATTAAAAGGTTTTGATCCAGAGATCTCAGCCTGCGAGAAGGCGTGTAAGGGCAGAGCATGTCTCGAACATACAATGGAGCCAGACCATGCAGCGCTCTGAAAGTCAGCACAAGAATTTTAAAATTGATGCGAAATGTGATTGGAAGCCAATGAAGAGCTTTTAAAATGGGGGTAATGTGGGCCCTTCTGTTGTCACGGGTCAGAAATCTAGCTGCACAATTCTGGACTTGTTGTAAGCGGGACAGCTCTTTTTTGTTTAGACAAGAAAATAAACTATTACAGTAGTCTAAACGGGATGATGTAAACGCATGAATAATCAACTCAAGATCAACTTTAGACACCATTGTTCTGAGTTTAGAAATTTGTCTCAAGTGGTAAAAACAGTTTCTAGTTAACTGCTTTGAGTGATGTTCAAGAGACATTCCCTTGTCAAAGAAAACTCCAAGGTTTCTAAGGGTAGGTTTAACAGACAAACTCAGATCACCTAACTGCTGGTGAATCCCTGGAACAGCATCATCGGGGGCAATCACCAGTACTTCAATTTTGTCTGAGTTCAGCCGTAAGGCATTTGCACCGAGCCACTGTTTGATTCGCTCAAAACAAGATGCAATTTTTTAACCTCAGAAGGCTTGAAAGAACAATACAGCTGAAGATCATCAGCAAAGAGATGATAGGAAACATCATCGGCAAACTCCTGGATTAGGTTTCCTAAAGGTTTCCTTCTTTCCATCACAAACCTAACCCTAACCTTCATACACTTTTACTCGCTGGTATTACCCTACAGAGAAGAAGACCCAAAGGCCTTTCTGATCACAATTCACTCGTCTCTCTGAGAGCACGGAGGCTGGGTCTCTGTCACTTTAACAACATGAAATTACAACCCAAATGGGATGTCAGAGGTTAGCAGTGTCTCTAGGAGAACTATGTGAATATATTTCCTCCTATGGACTTGCCCCCATTCTGACCTCCCACAGGAACAAGAAGTAACATGGTGATTGGCGTTTTTACAGCCAAATTAAACCCTCTTGCAGCCTGCTGAAGGCAGCAGGAGAAAGCAGCCGCTCCAAAATTAGTGAGCCATCATCATGACAGAAAGTAGTGGGGACATGGTGTCATCCAGCCACTGTATCGATTAACCCATAAATAGTATATGGCCCTTACACCGAGGCTCTCCCAGGCTTACACTGTAAATGGAAGTTATCTCAGCCGTGCATCTGTCTCGCTTTGGTGTGTGCGTTAAAAAAACATGACATCTTACAACTGCAGCAGTGTATTCAGATGCTTAGCTTGCTGTGAAAACGAGGACGTAATGCATCAGATTATAATGTCATGCAAAAGGCGTTTTTGCAAGTGATGAACACAACCTGAGGTGTTTTAATCATTGGCGCTGGCTGGAGGGCTCTGTGGTTTTAGAAAATGCAGTTTTATACATAATGAGTGCGTATTTTAAAAAACGCGGCTGTGCAATTCTCTCCATCGTCAGGTAGCCCCTCTGCATCCTTCTTTTCATTTTGCTCTTGGCATCGAGATTATCATTAAAGAAGCTCATCCGTCAAGGAAGCATTGATTTGCACACAAGTTTGCCCAATCAATCTCAAAGTTGCGATTAAAAAGCCAGAGCTTCTTCCATTTCTCCATGAAAATCTTTTGGCAAAAACAGAGAGGCCTTTCAATTTCATAGCCTCCAGAACACTCAAGTATTCATTGCGCTCTACTTTTTGCTTTCCACCTCTCTGCGGGAGGCAGAACTCATGACATCTATGTGTGCTGCCGCTTTTCACAGTGCTACACAGCCTTCAGATGTGTGCCGCGAGTGATCCCTCAGTACCATCGAATTCCTCTTATTGGCCTGCGCCTCGTTTAATGGGCCTGTCCGGAAAAGCGGCACCGTGCAAAGCCGGATCGTGGACCGCCAGTTTCGTTTTCTCTCAGCAACATTTTCTCCCAAACTGTAAAGAGCAGTCCTTCTATAATGATGCAGGAATCATGCTGGTTTTCTGAGTCAAAAGGAAGAAATAAAGATCTCAACCAGATCTCCATTTGTATCTTGTAAACAGATAACCACAGTTGTTCGTGTGCGTGCCTTGTTGGCTTATCTGTGTATTCATGTGGCTACGTTCACGTGCAACTGCGGGTGCATAATGCATGGCCCTGTTGAGAAGAGTGATTGCTTTATTCCTGCCTTGTAGGTGCTGTGGGGGCCAGGGACGTGTCTTTGGGCAGCTGTATGGATGGCTCGAGAAGGTCTCCATCATTCATAAAGCACACTCCTACATGTAGAATTGATCTTGCAAAGAAACAGGGTGGCAATAGCAGTTCATCAGTCTTCCCAAACCACAAATCACACTGAGGTGTCCCCCCCCACCCCCCACCCCCCGGGGAGGCTGTGACACCATTGTCTGCACAGAGGTCCCAGGAACTCCTGCTCACATCGAGGCCCCAAAGTATGAAACGCGGGCTGTGTTTGGGTAAATATAAATCAGGGTGAACTTGACAGAATGTGCAGAATAATACAACTAATGTGGCTGAAAACTTTTATCATCAATAGCTTTGTTTAATTCCATCATTAACTTTGAAGCAGATTTACAAAGAACATATTTAGTTAACCACGCAGAGCTTCAAAATTACGATGAAGTCCATTTAAAGGTGTGGAACACTAAAAAACAAAATCGTAATTATTAATTTATATTTTAAATCGGTCATTCTGAATTTTTCATGCAGGCTGAACATGAAAATAGTCTCCTACATATATCTCCCGCATTAACTTCTGAGAGATACAGACAGTGAAACTCTAGAACACATATGTCAGAGTCAAGGCCCGCGGGCCACATGAGGCCCGCGGAGCATTTTTATGTGGCCCGCGAGATAAATATCAAAAATATATATTAAAACTGGCCCGCTGGCCGATTTTACCTCAAAGACTTCAACTCCCATGATACTTTGCGGCGTCAGCCCGGAGCTGATGCGCCCCCTCCTTTGTGTTTTTTCAGCGCCTGCTGCTGGTGTCAGCAGCTTCGCTGTCTCGGACA